ATATTAAAAGAAGCTGGGTTGGTGTCCGAAAATGATTATTGTAAAGGAAAGAATGATGGCGGAATTATATATGGTTTATATTTAGCGCCAAAAGTTAAATATAATATTATTCTAACTTCTGACGGTATTCTAAAAGAAAAGAAAACGTTTAAGGGTTCTCTAATGATAAGACAGCTGTAGAAGATTATATTCGAGTAGCTAGTGGACATGATGTGACGAATGAATTTAAGAAACCATGGGAAAAAAGTTTCACCAATGGAGTAGTTATTCCAAAGGATGATGATAAACAAAAGAAAGTTTTAAATCTTGTTAAGAGAAAGGCACTGGACAGCAAAGGAATCATGTATCCTTATAGTGATAAAGATGACTTGAGTTTGGATGAAAACTACAAATTTGATGATTTCGATTACCTTACTATTCAAGAAGAGAATGAAGAGTGTTTCATTACTCAACAATTCTTTTGTTTTAAATGAAGTTGAATAACAATTTCCTCGTTACCAAAATCTTTTAGTAAATATGTCGTTTGAAATGGTTTCTCTATAATTCTATATCCTATCGGTACAGTGAATGTTGGAAGACTGTAAATAATCTGACGTTTGTATTTATTGAAAAATCCACCGTTTATCAAATTGCAATGTATATTTATCACATCGATATCATTCTCGATATTATCTTTGTGTGGTGCTAAAGTGGATTGAGTGTATATATGTTTATCAAATCCTAGTAACGCATTCAATGAATTTTATACGTTGAAATCAACTTGACTATTATATCTTAATATCAATTTTATTTTGTTCAGATTCAAATTACCTTCGAATTCAATATTGTTTTTACCATTTACACTTCCTCCATATTCAGATAGGTATTCGTTAATGGCTACGTATTCGTAGCTTCCTGGTAGTAAACGTATGGTTTTGAACGTAACTCCATTATCTGTTGATATTTTTATTTGGTTATTTTTTTCGTTGATATTTCTAATGGAATTGTAAACAGAGAAATACTTTAATCCCAATTCATATTCTTGATTGCGATCGAGTTCATACTCATAATCTAGAGACAATTTAATGTCCGATTTATTTGAGGTAATAACGAATAGTTGTTCTTTATTTGACATTTTTAATCACGCTTTTATAATCATTTTATCTATAATACCTTTCTGTAGGAGTCTTTTTAGTATACAATTCACTTCATTAAATTGTCTGTTTGATCGATGTCCTTCCTTCATTGCCGCTAATATTATTTGTAATCTATTAAGTAGTTCCTCGTTGTTGTCGGATAAAAACGTTATACCTTGTCCAGATACCATATCTTGGAATTCGTCTATTTCTTGTCCAGATACAATATTTTTGAATTCGACTATTTCTTGTATGATTGGTGGATAATCTTCTGCATAATCATCTACCTCCTCTTCATCTTGCTCAATAACTTTTGTTATATATAAATCAAATTCTTTCAATCTTCTGGTTTCGGGTCCTGACTTTCTAATTGCATGTAGAAATTTTGAGTATGCAACTAAATCCTTATAATCAACAATGCCAACATCCTCGCCATTCATTAAATCTATTAATCCTTTTGTTAATGTGTATATAAAATCTTTTGTATCGATTTTGAATTGTGGTGAATTTGGACTAAATCTTATACTAAAACCATTAAACAATAACCCCACATCATCATCGATTGTTGAAATTTGGTAAAACTGTGTTCGGGTTTGAAAAATAATATTTTATATCATCTAATGTCCTAATTATAATACCACCATATTCAATCGGTTTGGGGTGATGAGGGGTGGATATATATTCCAAAGCTAATTTTTTTTTAATATCCTCTTGAGATTTTAATATTGGTTGAAATAGAGTTTGTAGATTTTCTGTTAATCCAAGTTGTTGGAAAATTGTTTTTTTCAACTTGGGTCTTTATTTTATTCTTAGCTTTGATATATTCTTTATTTCTTTTTAAAATATTTTTCAATTATCCATTTTTAAAAAAATAAAATTAACATATGTCGATCATAAACCTTTCAACCGCAGGTTTTCTAGTATTTACAAATACATATCCATGATCATCTGGATTTCTCCATTGAGCTTTACAAACCTTTTTAAATGTATCTCTATCCATTCCGTGATTTATCGACTGAATGATTTTTAGATAAATCTTTATCGTTTAATTCAAATAATAAAAAACAATTTGCATTTTTTCTAATGAACATAGAATCCACCCCTTAAAAAGATTGGGATTGGTATATGCAGTGACAGTTGTGACGTCTTCCTTTCGTGAAGAATTCCTGTTGAACAGCTTGATTTCTTTGCGCTACGCAAATAATAATGTTATTTTTAGTCTAGAAACTTCTAGAAGGAAGATAACTCTTTTTTTTCAAAAAAAAAAAAACAGACAACAATTTTCTACTCAATTTTTAAACCTTAAAAATGGCAAATAAAATACTAGATCCAATCTTTAAATTATACAATCCGATTCGTTATTCATTTAACAAGAAAAAAGAGAATTATATTATCATCTCAACGACTGTTGGTTCTAAATCCCAGTTGAATGATGTTGGTAGAATTACCTTCAAAATAAATTCATTATCGAATTGGTTGCTTCTTTCTGATGCTTATTTCAGATGTGATTTCAAAATTAAAGATGGAACTCCCAATGAAAATCGTGTACCACAAACAAATACAACGTTAGAAAACAATTTCTTTCCATCTTTATTTAGCGAGATGGTTTTGGAAGCTGGTTCAAGACCGATAGAAACAATTAAACACCCTGGGGAATTCGACACAATGTTGAAAACAGTTTTATATCCTAAAGATTTCGGTTGGAACATAGAAAAGTTTCCGTAGGGTTACCATATAAAATTCATCTACAAAGAGAAATCAACAATGATAAGATATTCTTTGGAGAGAATGCTTCAAATGCAAAATTAGAAATAACGAATTTTCATACCCGTAATAACACCATCAAATGAAGTAGAAACGAGAATATTCAACTCATTAACTAAAGATATATCAGCTCACCAAGAAGATCTTTTCAAAACAGGAGTGAACATAAATATTCATATTGAAAAAGCACAAGGAGATGTAACCGGTTATTGTTTACTACTCGAAGAAGCAAAACATTTAATTAAAATAGCAGATAGAAGAATGATAAGAATTGAGTAAAAAATATACCCTTAAAAATAAAAGTAGAAACTTTAGTTATGAAAATAATAGAAGCTTCCCCAACTGTAATAACTTTCAATGGTAAAAAAATCAGCATAACTAAAAGACTTATTGATAAATACAAATATTGTAAAGTCAGAGACGATATAGACTTAGAAAGAATTGACGCGAACGCAAAAGAAGGTGGATTTTTACCTTTTCTACTACCTTTAATATTTGGTGGTATTGCAGCGGCGGCTGCAGCAACTGGTGGAATATCTGCCGCAGTCAAAGCTGCCAACGCAAAAAAAGCAGCTGATGCTAAAGCCGCTGAAGAACGCAGACATAATTTAATAATAGAAAAGGAAGCCAAAGGTTCAGGAGTGGGAGATATGATAGGCACAATAAAAGAATTTGGAAAAAGATTTGGGGAAGAAACCAAGAAAACTGTTAAACAAGGATTAAATAACTTAGTACATAGTATTGACACAGGAGAAGTCAAAGTCAAACATAAGGGTAATGGAATATACACTGGAGAAGGATTATTTCTTTCAAAGTATAAAGGAGAAGGAGTGATTTTTGGAATAAAATAAAATAATAAAAATTTGGGCAAAAAATGTTATCATTCAGAAATGTTTCCTAATAACCCAATGCTCATGTGTATATGCATTAGGTCCGGTTCTGGGAAAACTCATCTCACTTTTAACATGTTGACAACACCAAACCTTTTAGATTTCGATTCTTTTTATATCTACACAACACCAGAGCAATCGTAAATTATCAATTCCTCAAGGCTTTAGAATATCTACCAAAGAAAGATGTTCAAGACATATTTCAATATTACGAAGAAAACGAAGAAAAAGTGGAAATAAAAGATATCATAGATAACTTCATTAAATCAAAGAATCCAACGGATATAAAAGTTTTTCTTACGAAAAATGTTAATGATCTAGACTTGTCTAATATTGATAGCAATTGAAAGAACTTAATATTGTTTGACGACTGCGTAGCGCAAAGAAATCAAGCTGTTCAACAGGAATTCTTCACGAAAGGAAGACGTCACAACTGTCACTGCCTATACCAATCCCAATCTTTTTACGGGATGGATTCTATGTTCATTAGAAAAAATGCAAATTGTTTTTTATTATTTGAATTAAACTATAAAGATTTATCTAAAAATCATTCAGTCGATAAATCACGGAATGGATAGAGATACATTTAAAAAGGTTTGTAAAGCTCAATGGAGAAATCCAGATGATCATGGATATGTATTTGTAAATACTAGAAAACCTGCGGTTGAAAGGTTTATGATCGACATATGTTAATTTTATTTTTTTAAAAATGGATAATTGAAAAATATTTTAAAAAGAAATAAAGAATATATCAAAGCTAAGAATAAAATAAAGACCCAAGTTGAAAAAAACAATTTTCCAACAACTTGGATTAACAGAAAATCTACAAACTCTATTTCAACCAATATTAAAATCTCAAGAGGATATTAAAAAAAATTAGCTTTGGAATATATATCCACCCCTCATCACCCCAAACCGATTGAATATGGTGGTATTATAATTAGGACATTAGATGATATAAAATATTATTTTTCAAACCCGAACACAGTTTTACCAAATTTCAACAATCGATGATGATGTGGGGTTATTGTTTAATGGTTTTAGTATAAGATTTAGTCCAAATTCACCACAATTCAAAATCGATACAAAAGATTTTATATACACATTAACAAAAGGATTAATAGATTTAATGAATGGCGAGGATGTTGGCATTGTTGATTATAAGGATTTAGTTGCATACTCAAAATTTCTACATGCAATTAGAAAGTCAGGACCCGAAACCAGAAGATTGAAAGAATTTGATTTATATATAACAAAAGTTATTGAGCAAGATGAAGAGGAGGTAGATGATTATGCAGAAGATTATCCACCAATCATACAAGAAATAGTCGAATTCAAAAATATTGTATCTGGACAAGAAATAGACGAATTCCAAGATATGGTATCTGGACAAGGTCTAACGTTTTTATCCGACAACAACGAGGAACTACTTAACCCTTGTGCTAGAACTTGGGGTATATCGGGACCCCAGCATCGATTTTTTTCGAATTTCCAAAATGCCATCGAAGATAGCAGTTTGGTTATTTCAAACATTGTCGCTGAATGAATTTTTAACTTGTTCATGATCAGTCTACTGTGCAACAATCACAATTAGCGGATATGTTACCCT